TGTACATTCACTTGCTGAATAAATGCATGAAAGCATGATGAATGGAGTAGTGTGGGAGAAGGTTCCACTTGTCTCAGGGACAGTCCTCTGTAGAAGGCCCCATTTCCTTTCATAACAAAATCATTTTCTTAATGGTAATCACTGTAAGCCTTACCCTCCACCCCCAATAAAGAGCAAATGAACACCCTGAAAAGATGTGGCCACCTTAGTAATTCCTAATGTCCAGAAATTCAGTTTTAAAGCTTTAGAAAATGTCATCCAGCCATCAGAAAGAACTCATAGCCTCATTTGAAGCCAAAATAAACCAGTCGCAAAAATTCCTTGGTGTTTTCCCTATCAGGGAATAAGAACAACTCAATTACTATTCCTGTTTGTTTTCTTTTTAAGTCAGCAATAACAAACTAAACGGATTAAAAATCCAAAGTATTACCATCATTTTTTTTTACTAACAACAAGATGATTTTTATGTACTAGCAACTCTCTATAAAACAGAGAAGAGCTTAGAATTTTTTATTATTATTTGGCCACTGGCAATTAATTCTTCTGATGTGTTGTATTAGTTTGATGGTTGGGTCCAAGACCTAGAATATTTCTTACCCCAGCCGACGGATGCCAGAAAATTATTTCAGTGCAGTCCCTAGCAAATGGTGATGATGAATAGCATGGCAGGACAAACGTATTCAGACACACATTTTTCAGAGGTAGCAGGGAAAATGCTGAAAAATTACTAGTAAATTGCTTTTTGTAAAAATGCGCTCTCTTTCAAATTTCCCCTAGTGTGAAGGTCTTCTGCAGAATGATGGCACAAGGCATTCTGACATACCTGGACAACAAAGGCAGTTAAAGAATGAATAGGAGATCAGAGTGAAGGTTAAGATTTAATTTTCTTATTCCACCCTCACTGCCACCCATACTGTCCCCCACACCAAGCTGTCTTGTGTGCATCTGTTTAACCCACTGGGATAAGAATCTCTAAAAGCCACCGATGCTTTCTCCTGAGTAGGCACGCCTTGTCCCTCCTTCCACCTATCATCTAGCCATCCCAAACGGAGTTAAGATATTGGTGCATCTCCAGTCTGTTTCTTGCCTTTTCTCTCTTCTCTAAAACTGCCCAGTTTTTCCAGTTTCAAATTGCAGCAATCTCCAAATATCTCCAGCACCTAGTAAAGTACCAAGGACTTCCTTTGCTGTCTACGCAAGCCTCGCCTTTCAGGACACACGATAGGATAATCGAACAGGAGCCCGAGGCATCCAGAGGTGCAAGGGCTAATACAGTAGTTCTCTGCCAGGCAAGACTCTGCTCCCAGGCTCATTTGGTAATGTCTGGAGACATTTCTAGTTGTCACACTGGGAGGGAACGGTGCTACTTCTTCAGTGAGGAGAAGCCAGGGACCGCTGACCACCCTGCACTGCACAGGACAGCCCCTCCAAAGCAAATGATCCGTCCTGAAATACCAGTAGTGCCAGGATTTGGAAACTCTGGTCCCATCTAAATAAAATGCTACAGAGATTGTTTTTTTGTTGTTCTTACACATGATTACGTGTTAGTTGTTCATGGCATAATGTTTGAAGAATGTGATTCCTTCACTCTGTCATTCAGTGAACAGCAGTGGAGGCCAGCAAGGTGACAGGACCGGGCTGACCTGAGACACAGAGGTCAGTTTAACAGAGGGTCAGTCATGTCACTTACTTTCAGATGGGGGCTGTGAAGTTGTCTCTTATTCCCCTTTACGGAATCACCATGCACCTCGGCCTGTCATGCTAACTCAGTAAGGGCTACGGATATGGGGAGGGGTCATGCCTCTGTCTGTTGGACAGCTGGGTCTATGAGGAACAGCATGGATTCAGAGGTCACTAAAGCAGGGTCCTGCTCCTGCCTGCGCTACTTATTTGCTGTGTGACACTGAAAAGTGACACAACATCTCTGAACCCTAGTATCCTCTTTGAAATGGGAAGTGTAGCCTTGACCTTCAGGAACATTTGTAAGCAAGGTATTCTGTATGTGGACGAGCAGAGTATCTGGCTCTCGAACCACCTCACTCCAGAAGCAGTGGCCATGCCGTGCGTGTCTTAGTTCTTGCGGCATTTTCCAATGAGTGCTGCCACAGGTCTCTGGGCTGGTTTTTCAGACTCCCCCAGGACAGAACACAAGGTCTGTCAGCAGCCGGGCTGGGGGCAATGTGGACGAAGCCTGTTTTTGTGCAGCTCTCATGGGCCCAGGTCCATGACCTTGCCTCTCTGAGCACTTGGCTCCAGCCACTCGGGCCCTGTACACCCTCCGTGCCTTCCCTTTGACTGTTTTCTTCTCAAACACAAAGGGGTAAAAGGCAAAGCCTCACTCACAAACAACATACTTAACTCTGTTTTCTTGCTTTAAGTGCAACCATCAAATAAGTTCTTCCATGTGCAATAAACAGCTGTGAATCTGCCTAATAAAGTGAAGCCATTTTACCCCACTGGTATTCCCCGAGAGGAGTCATTGGCCACCTGCATCTTTTTAGCTGCATTTAATAATTCAGCCCAGGATGAATTTGCATGATTAACATAAAGCCTCATGGTTTTATTTGCTTTCAGAATTTAAGTACTGAAACAACCACCATTGTTTTCATTTTTGGAGGTTGTGATCAAAACACAAAACTTGATTCTAGAATGAATAATTTTTTTTTTTTTTTAAAGAATTATTTTCCAGTACCACTCTCCATGGAATCAAAAGAGTTGCAAACACGGCCTTTGTAGATGCAGGGAAACCCACATTCTTTTCAGGGCTGGTGTTAACCCATGAGAAGCAACCATTCCCTCGACGACTTCTCCTTTATGGTTCCTACCCAGGAGCATGGCCAACTCTCCCACGGAATCCATAATGGCTCACACAAATAGATTTCTTTCCATTCCTCCTTGGAGGGCTCTCCACATTTATCTGCTCAAGACGTAGCAGCTCCAGTAAGTCTTTAAAACAGCAGCTCTCCCAGACTCCAGCAATAGATTAATGACGTCATCCTCAAAAAATAGTCAAAACGCAAACCAAATAAGTAGCACTTGGTAAACCATCTGCCTAAGAAGGGGAGTCACGCGTGTGAAAAGATAATTTGCAAAGCAGAAGAGGCAGCATCATTGGGTTTCTTGATGAATGTAGTAAAACAGGTTTGTCTAATGGGGAAGCATGCATTACTATCAAAAAAAAAAGCGAGTGTATCCCACCTGGAAAAGCAAGCAGGTTTTAATATCTGAGAAGCATTTCAAGCTGTGCTGCCAGCGACCCTCAGCCCGTGTGATTTTCCTTAACATAAAGGCCGACCTCACCTGCTTAAACATAATTAGGAAACAGGCAGTCGTCGCGGTGGCTAAAAGTTTGTGCGGCCGGTGCTTGCGTGTGTATTTCTGTCCCACTGACGCCTCTGTTGCTGTTTCTGAATGCAGGAACCATGGTCAGTAAGGACACCGGCAAATGCATACTCACAACGTCGGAGAGTGAAGTGGAATCCGCCGCCTGTCTGGCCCTGGAGATGAAATACGCCCTGGACCCCAACCGGCAGATTAAAAAACGGAACAAAGCCCTGCAGGTGCGGTTTAAGGATATCTGCGAGGCGCAGAATGAGCAGAGGGACACGCAGCTGTCCTCGGGCCAGCTGGGGGAGAAGCGGGAGGCCAAGCCCGTGTCCTGCAGAGCCGCCTACCGCAAATACATGACAGTGCCCGCACGCAGGTCCATCCCCAACGTCACCAAGAGCACAGGCGTGCAGACCTCGCCCGACCTTAAGAAGTGTTACCAGACGTTCCCTCTGGACCGCAAAAAGGGGAACCTCAAAAGCTTCCCAGCTGCAGATTCCTTTAAAAGCCAAAACAATGGGTTTGTAACGGATGCTAAAGAGAAGAACGAGGCTGGACCCATGGAGGCGGCCCGGCCGTGTGGCGCAGGGCGGGTGTACAAGACCACAGCCTTGGTTTTCCATTCGAATGAACACATGAACGCAGCAGACCAGCCTTTGGGGGTCAACTGCGCAGAACCCTGTAAAAGCCCGGAGCTGCTCAGCTATGGAGAGGCTGCGCTCCAAAACTCCGCTCGGCCCCCCTCCGAAGAGCCCGATTACCAGCTGCTCGGGAGGGCCAAGCAGGACCGGGACAGGCCAAACTCCGAGGAGCCCGCTCCATCTGCCCTCGGGAGGGTGTTTAAAACAGAGGTTGCCACCGTTTACGCACCTGCCCTCAGTGCCAGGGCCCCCGAGCCTGGTTTGTCAAACTCTGCGGCCGCCAGCCAGTGGTCACTCTGCCCAGCAGACGAGGAGCGGAGGAGAGCCACACATCTCAACGGGCTCCAGGCGCCCTCGGAAACTGCCCTGGCCTGCTCACCCCCGATGCAGTGCCTGTCCCCTGAATGTAGTGAGCAGCCCTCGCAGACTCACACCCCGCCGGGGCTGGGGAACCAGCCTAGTCCCACAGCGGTTGCTGCAGGTGAAGAATGCCAACAAATCGTGCCTCATACAGAAGTGGTCGACCTCAAAGCACAACTTCAGATGATGGAGAACTTGATCAGTTCAAGCCAAGAAACCATCAAAGTGCTCTTGGGGGTCATTCAGGAGTTGGAAAAAGGAGAGGCCCATCGGGAAGGGTATGTATGTTCACCCATGTCTTAGGAAGCTATGCAGGCTCATCACCACAGGGTCCATCTGTAGCCCCAAACCCAAGTCCGTAATGAGACTAACGCCAGCATTTCTGTAAACAGGTCATAGTCTAAGCGTGTGGTGAGCTCCAAGGGGTCACAGATTATTGTATGATACTAGACTTCACTGCATCCTGCACGATACACTTTCTGATTAATGTTCATCTTTCTGGCCTTGAATTCAAACCATACCTATGCTTAGAATGAATTGCTAGCCATTTCTTTTTATTCTGCTAGGGCTAAAGGTTTGTGATATTGATAATGTATAGTAACATATGCCAGTCCAAAATATCCATTCTAAATAAGAATAGAATCATATTAGGAAGAGAAGAAGCCATAGGCCTCTTAGGAATCATATTAGGAAGAGAAAGGAAATTTCATGTGACATTTGGAAAAGTAAATGCTGACTTGCTTATAATAAATAATTCAAATAATATTGGTATTCAGGACTGTACAAGGCTTTACACAGTAGACACTGTATTTTTCATTCTGTACCTGGAACTCAAGCAATGGGCATCGTGAGGCCAGTCCTGACTGTATATGGTTAGGAGACAGATGCCCTTCCCCACGGGCCGCCCTGTGTGTCCGGGGGGCTGCAGAGAGAATGAGACCAGCTTCACGGCCGATACTTTGTTGCGTTGATAAGACCCTGTTGCACTTCATCTTTTGAAGTTTAAACTGTGCAGCAGCATCTTTAAAAACAACTGACCTAAAGGTGGGGCTTTGGTTCTTGAGCTCCCCAGTGCAGAAGCCTCCTGTGGGCTGCCATGTGCTCAACTGATACAAAGTAGCCTGTTCTACTCTGTGTCCGGGGGTTACCGGACTTTGCCTGGATTGCTGAGACCTCTCTTGCTCATTGCCCCTTGAAAGTGTCTGTGTTCCTGCCAGCCTGTGTCCTGCAGGTGACATCGGAGGCAGCGTGCTGTTGCCTCATGTGGTGTGCACCCTTCACTCTGTGAGCCCTGAGCCCTGGGTTTAGCAAGCTAGAAGCCAGCCTGAAATAAGCCAAGTAATGTATTTTCAGGACAGAAAACCACCCGGGCACAAAGTTGCCTTAAGAGGATTGCTGTGGCTGAGCGAGACAGTTGTTTGCTGACTGCAAAGAAGGGGGAGGAAACCCCTCCTGCCTTCAGGTGGAGGCTGAGGCGAAAGGCCCAGCTCCAGCAGCGGAGAGGCTGGGGCAGGTTCTGCCCTTGGCTCTGGCTGCTCCAGCTTGGCGCAGGAGGCCTGTCTACAACTTGATGCTCTTAAGCAAAAAGAATTGCCAGCCAAATGTACAAAAATCTTAACCGTAGATTCATAGGTAATCTAACACCATGTAATATTTCCAAAAGGCCTTGTTCCGTCTTGGGTTTACATCTCCATTTTCATCCCATTTTGATCAGTACAGATTCAAAAGCAACACTCCTCGGGGGTGGGGTGGGGGAGATCAGTGATTTACTGATCAGCAGTCCACATTCCTGCAAAAAAAGTTAAAGCTCAAACAGTGACCCAGTCACTGACATTGATATAGATGGTAGTGAATTAAACCAGACAGCAAAAGAGAAAGAGGCCAACATCACCAGCTGGGAAATAAAGTTCACCAAATGGTGTAACATGAAATATGTACACTAATGTGCATACTCACAGGGGCGTGTGCCCGAATAAGAACCTGAGAAGGCTGAACACGCACGAGAAAGGAAAACCGTACGATACATGGGAGCTCCTTCTTACACTGCTCTTAGAACAAGTATGGAAGATTGCTTTAAATAAGATCCTCAGGGTTCTCTGAGATGCCATCCATCTGGCAGTGTGGTTCTAAGTTTACTAAGACATGTCTTGGTAGGAATCTGGCACTGAGGGCTCGGGCAAGGGCTGTATCTGTCTGTGCCTTCTTTCTTCACCTGTAAGTTGAGATCACTGTCTGTCCTGCAGATGGGATGGAATGACATGGGGTGACCTTCTAATGTGTTCAGCCTAGTGGCAGGTGTATCTGAATGGGCAGATGTCCGCTAGTGGCATGAGTGTTGGTCTTGCTGGCTAGCAATGCTGGAGCGGGGGTCTGGGGAGGACTTAGTGGTCTTGTGGGCATCCAGTGTTATGAATGCATCCTCTCCATGCCCGGCACAGAGGCTGCCACACAAGACTCTCGCTGAAACTCTGGAGCTGCTCTGTCCAATACGGTGGCCATTGGCTGCACGTGGCTATTGAAATTCAAACTACAATTAATGACAATTGAAAATTCACAGTCACAGCAGTCACGTTTCAAATGCTCAATAGCCACATACATAAGACAGTGCAGCTACGGAACATTTCCATCATCAGGAAATGTCCTTCACTCCGGTATCCCAGAACATGGCACAGTGCCTGGTTCTTAAGCATCTGAGGACTTGGGTACCTTAAATCAAGACAAAGGATGGTTTTACTTTAAAATCAATCCTAGTTCAGTTGCTTCCAGCACAAGCTCACAGTGGAAGGTAGAAAGGCAGGTCTCTGTTGTGTTCCTGGAACATTCACTTCCTCCTCTCTCTCAGAGCCCTCTGGACTCAGATAACAAAGAATCAAGTGGTTCCAAACTCCAAGGCCACCTTATGGGGCCCCCTCTTGATCAGTGCCCCAGGGTCGTTAATTTGGCTGAAATTCAAAGTTCCCACCCTTCTTCTCCATGTCAGAACATAGGAGAGGACTGCAGCCTCAGAGACAGGCAGATAAGATGCAAGCTCATTCTCCATCCCTTCCCAGACCCTGGGTACAGCACAGAGTCCCAGGAGTGACAGCTGTGAGCAGTGGCAGCCAGCACGGGTCTGGGACATCTGGAACAACAGGCTCTGGATGGAAGGGAAGTAGCATCTGCTGATTTCCATGGTGTAAATACTGCTACCGTGGCCAATTTCAATCTCACAAAATCCTAAAAATGTAACACTCTGCCCCACCGAGCACCCAACAAATCCCTTGAAGGGCAAGTTCTAGGACTTTAGAACGAGGGGTTCACAGGGCTTACTTTATGTACCAGGTCTGAACTGGGGAGTAGGTATTCTAGTTGCACCTCATGGTTTAAAAAAAAAAAAAAACCAAAACCAAAAAGAAAACAGGAAAATGCACTCTGCTGTGTGTACCTTGATACATAGTTATTATATGATAGGACAATGAACTGAATGACCAAGCTAAAATATCAATGGAGGCCAGGCACGGTGGATCACGCCTGCAATCCCAGCACTTTGGGAGGCCGGGGCGAGTGGATCACTTGAGGTCAGGAGTTTGAGACCAGTCTGGCCAACACGGTGAAACCCCATCCCTACTAAAAAATACAAACATTAGCCAGGCGTGGTGGCAGGCACCTGTAATCCTAGCTCCTCCAGAGGCTGAGGCAGGAGAATTGCTTGAACTCGGGAGGTGGAGGTTGCAGTGGGCCAAGATCACGCCACTGCACTCCAGCCTGGGCAACAGAGCGAGACTTCATCTCAAAAACATAAAAATCAAAATCAATGAAATTTTTCTTGGAAAACATGCTAAAGCCTACAAATTAGGAGCTGGAGAACACTCTGAAGCTGGGGAAAGTCAGTTCCTCTCCCGACTTACCACCCCAATAAAGCAAACAGGGGCTTCCAATAGAATTTCATCTGCATTCAGAAGAGTCAGTCCTAGTGAGGGCAGGCACCTCGGAGCCCATGACTTTGAATGCAAGTGACAAATCTTGCCCCCACATTTCCATACGGTGCTTCAGGATTAACGACCTGGCCCAAAGGGGCCATGGGCCTGTTCCTTGGGAAGCCAGGATTCTTTGAATCCTGCTGATGGCCCTGGGCAATGTATGTTTCTTAGAACATGTTTATCGTAAAATCTCTTTAATAGGACTTCTTTTCACTATTGAGTTTGTCAGGCAAGTGCTTCCCTGTAGTTCTTAACCTGTGCAGGAATTTCTGTGTCACTGGCTACAACCACTTTCAGTAGCTTCCAAATTATTTTTCATAAGAGACTCTCATTATTTTCATTTGCTTATGTAGATTTCCAAAAGGCTTCGGCAAAGAATGTTTATGGCAGAGACAGGTTAACCTCTGTGAGCTTCAGTTTTGTCTGAAATCAACTAGGGGTGGTGAAATACAGTATCTACAAAGCTCCCATCTACAGCCAGCACACAGTTGGCGCTGAATAAAGGACATATCCTTTACGAGCATTTCAGTGGGATGAATTCTGCAAGTAGGTTAGATGTGCAAAAAGTATGCAAAATCATGCCTTTTAGTCCCTTGTAAAACACTGGGGCAATTCACTAAAATCACTCTGCTTTATGCGGTGCGGGCTTGCATGAATGCCAAGAATTATCCTGCTTATTTCAGAGCTCTTAGTATTATGCTTGTGTCTTCCGGGGAAGTTCAGGGTCACACAGGCTACCAAAATAAGTCACTAATGGGAGTCATTGAAGGCTAAGAACAAGGCAAATGGGGCAGTGAATTTAAAAAACCCAATCAATTATTAGAACAGTAGGAATCCCCTGTAGCAGCTATGGGATTCCTGGGCAGGAGATCCTCAGACGAGTGGGGTGTAGGTCTTGGTGGCTCGTTGGGTAAACTCACCAGCAACTACGGTGTGGCAACCCTGACAGCACTCTTTGCCTCTTAGATTTCCTACGCCAAACATTTAGTGTCTTGAAGTGTCCATTGGCTGGCGACAGCCTAGTGATACTCTGCTATTTGGAGAAGACCAGAAATGATCGTGAGAAGATTTATTTGAGGATATCAAGCACATGATCAGGATCTGTCACTGCCCAGAGTGAAGCAGATTCTTCTACGGGCCAGGCCTCCCTCAGCATTTGCTGGGTGTTATCTGCAGGCTTGGGGTACGGGGAAAGAGCAAGAGGACCCAGGCCCTTAAACATGACCAGCAGGTAGTGATGAGACCCTGAGGCTTCAGGCTTTGTGACTTTACTAATTCAGAGCAAAGGGAAGAGGATGATTAAGAAAAGAAAATCCCAA